GGGACCCCTCAGTCCGCAGGCTGACGCTCCATCCACTGAGCCAAACCGGCCAGGGCTGTAGTTGAGTCTTGATTGCTATTGGCCCATTCATGAATGGGCTCTACCATCAGGCTGGCTGACAGTGAGCCTCAACCCCCAACACAGTATGGAGGCTGCTATCTAGGTGCTGATCACATGAAACAGAATTCACCTCAGCAAGATTTAGTGCCTGCCAATGTTTCCCTGTGGATATGCTGCTTGTGAAGCTTGTTGCATTTTGCTCTATTGTGTCTGAAGCTGGCCACTGGGTGTATTGATTCTGGGCCTCTTCAGAGGGACTCTGGTGCAGGCCAGTGTCTGATACTGTCTGTGATTGGCCCTGAGCAACTTGTTTGGAGCTATCAGCAATCCACAGCTTATGACTCCCTCTTTTAGGCCTGAGTTCATGTGGAAAGAACCAAGCTGCACACCAAGTTCTGCCATACCTCCCCCCCAGCTCAGGAGTACGTCAGGCAAAGATTCAAAGCACCCAGGAATTGCCTTTGCCTCCAGCTTCCTCCTAGTTGTAGAACTTCCACTCAGCCAGCCTTCCTGTGGTTCTGGATGATGTCTGTTCCGTCTTTTAGTTGTATTTTTGAAGTGGTTGTTCGAGGCAGCAAACTCCGGCGTTAACCTATGCCGCCATCTTGGTTTCTCCAATCCACAGCTTATGACTCCCTCTTTTAGGCCTGAGTTCATGTGGAAAGAACCAAGCTGCACACCAAGTTCTGCTTTTGCTAGCCCCCAGCTCAGGAGTACGTCAGGCAAAGATTCAAAGCACCCAGGAATTGCCTTTGCCTCCAGCTGTCTGTTAGTCTCAGTCAGTTAATGAGTCTCTGGCTGTAGTCCTCAGCAGGGCATAAGCTCCACAGGGTGGGGAGAGAGGGATTCCAATAGATGGGGCTATTGTTTCCCCCAAAGCTAAAGCTACATGGATGGGAAAGGTCTGCCTAAGAAAGATGGCTTCTGCAGTATGGAGGAATGACTCAGCACAGGGATCCAGGCAGCTCTCCTCTCAGCTCTCTCCCCAGAGCCACTAACCCCAGGCTCTCCTCACACAGATCTAGTCCACTCTACCCTTTCTCTGCCAGAGCCCAAGGGGAGTGGCTATGAGCAAAATTTTGTCCATTGGTCCTTTAAGAGGGTACCTGCATTTCTAGTCATCTCTCCCTGGTGGACAGAACCCCCTGTGCTTTTCACAGTCAGATGTTTTGTGGGCACCTTTCCCAGTTCTTGTGCTCTGATCTGGGGAGCCAGGTTTGGGATTTGGACCCCAGACTTCTCAGGGAGATACCCTGTAGAACTTCAGCTGCTCCCACCAACCCTCTCATGCCTCTGCTCAATGTGGCCTCCTCTTCATACCAGTCTCAATGTGGCCTCCTCTTTAAGTCCTTGGTTATAAAGCTTCTCTCCAACTAGTCTTCAGTTGCTTATTCAGGATGAGTTTTCTATATTTTAGTTGCTGTTGCTGGGAGAAGGTCAGTGTAGCTTTCATTTAATCCATAGCCATCTTAGAATCTCCTCCATATATAACTTTTGACTCCCTCAAAACTTACCTACTAAGTTTGACTGGAAGCCTTGCAATAACATAAACAGTTGATTAACACATATTTTTATGTTATATGTATTATGTACCATATTCATGATATGTACATTAAGAAAATCATAAGAAGAGAAAATACACTTTCAGTATTTATTGAAAAAAATCTGCATATAAGTGGACCTGCACAGTTCAAACCCATGTTGTTCAAGAGTCAACCATATGATATATAATTATATATTATGATACATAATTATATATATTATATATAATCTACACTAATAAAAGAGAAACATGCAAATTAACTGTCCCTTCATGATGGCCACAAGCCACGCCCATCAGCCAATCAGGAGTGAGTATGCAAATTAGTGGGACAAAAACAGCAGCAGCCATGGAGCCAGCCAGAGCAGGCAGGAGGCTTGGGTCACCCAGGCAACAAAGGAAGCCAAGCTTCCCGCCTGCCTGGGCCAGTGCCGAGGGGCCTGTGGGTGGCAGCCACGGAGCAGGCCAGAGTGCAGGGAGGCTTGGGTTGCCGAGGACAACCCAAGATTCTCTCCTGCCCTAGCTGGGGGCTGAAGGAGAGGCCTTTGGGCACAGGAGGCTTGGGTCTCCAGGGCCAGCTGCTGAGAGAGGGGCCTGCAAACAGCCCTCAGCCATCACCCAGGCTGGCCACACCACCATCGGGGTGAGGGTCCCCGCTGGGGAACATGGCCAGCCTGAAAATGGCCCTCAGCCCCTTACCCACGCTGGCCACACCCCCATGGGTGAGGGTCCCCTGTGGGATCGGTCCTAAACCGGTAGTTGAACATCCCTCAAGGGCTCCCAGGTTGGAGAGGGTGCAGGCTGGGCTGAGGGACCACCCCCCCCCAATGCACGAATTTCGTGCACTGGGCCACTAGTATGTAATATAATTAAGCATGCTATTTTAACAGGGAAATATATTATTCTAATATATAGTATATTTTATTTTATAATTATATACTTTATAATTACATATTATTAAATAAACATATTATCTAATATATTATATGTTTTA